TTCATTTTTTTGTAATTATGAGAGGTTGATTAATCATTTTTATTGTGGAGGGTGTTAATCATGGATATTATCATCTTCACTATTTTAATTTTAGAGAAATACATGAAACAGTTTCATTAAAATTTCATTAAGTAGTATATGAAACAATTTCATAACCATATATGAAACAACTTCATCAAAAAAAAAAAAAATTATATGAAACAATTTCACAAGATTAAATAATTTCATAATTTTTTTTTCATAAAATTAAACAATAAAATCAACGGATGAGGGTGGTTTGCACGGTTTATATAAATTGGAGTGATTTTCATTTGATCGCTCATCTACATACATATATATACATATCGTTTATATATATATATATATATATATCATCAGATTAGATTATATGGAGGGAAATTTACGTAAATAATCATTTTACAAAATGGTTTTCACTTTTTAGTCATCTTAGAAACTTTTTCCTTCAAATAGCTAAGGTTTACAAAAGACCTTATGTGGAAAAGAATTTTCTATGTAAAATTTATTTTCAAGGCAAAAAAGAAAAAGAAAAATAAGTTAAAAAATTAATCTACGGAAAAAAAGGGGGGGTTTACGCAAAAAAAACTTTACATAGAAATTTTTATGCAAAAGACGTTACGTAGAAAATAGATTTTTTGCGTAAAAAAGTCTTCTCTTTTTTGCGTGAACTCCTCCATTTCGCGTAAAGTTCCAATTTTTAATTATTTTTTGCTTTTCAACTACATAATTTATTAATTAAAAAATACCATAGATAAATAATAAAAAATAACTTTAGAAATTAAGATAATAATCATTTTAAATTGGATAAAATCTTAAAAAATTTATTATATCTTTTTTAAAAAAATTATTTAATTAGAGTAAATTACGGATTTGGTCCTTGTTGTTTGCTGTTTTTTACGAAAATATCCTTAGGCTTCATTTATTATGGATTTGGTGCCTCTAGTATGCATTTTTCTGTTGGATCTGGTCCTGGACCAAATGGCCGTCCAATAGGTCCATTAAGACTGAGGGCAAAATGATATTTTTCTATTTTTCTGCATTTTAGTTTTTTTTAAATTAAGTTTAAAATAGAGATCAAATTGTATGATTTCAAAACTTGGAGGCCACATTTTAAAAATTCTCAAGACCCACGTCTTTGTCTCTCTTTTCACCGGCGGGTGTGATCTCACCGCTGCTCATTCTTCATCGGCATCTACCAACTACACCTTGTTGCCATTTCTTCTTAAGTTCTATCCTCAGGGTTGTCCTTGGAGGAGGGGGAGCTGGGCATCTGCCCAGGGCCCAAAAAGTTTAGGGGCCTAAAAAATTTATATTATTAGGTTTAGTAAAATTAATATGAAATGATTAAACTTAAGCCAAAATTTTACAAAATAAAAAAGCCCAAATTTATTAAAAGACAGAGGCCAAAGTCCAACTCTTCAACAATCCATTAATCCAATTATCCATGGGCCAGATCGGCAGACTACGAGAGCGAGAGCCAATGAGCGACGAGCCGACGTTTCATCTACATGTGATTCGATTCCAACAATCCAACGGTAACTCAGCAAGCGGCTCAACAGGCGATTTTAGGATGAAGTTTCTGATGCGTCGCCGACTTAAGGTTAAATTCAACTTTTACAGTTTCACTTTCAGTTCATTTGTTCATGTTTGATGTTTCTCAAGACTCAAATATCAAATTCTCAATTCTAGCTTATATGTGTAATGTGTTAATTGTTAATTTGTTATGATTTTGGGTTCACTGTTTCTCAATTCTCACAGTTCTATTCTGATTTGAAGTTCAAGATTCAAGATTTATTTTAATTGTTGTTCAAGTTCATCATCATTCACTCGGTGGGTTTAGGGTAGCAACAAAAAGGTATCTATTTTCTATTTATGTGTACATTTCTTTTTATTTGCCATGATAAGATTCGTATTTATTACCATACATATTTGAACATTTTGTTCAACAGTTTTCCTGAGAACTTTTAAATTTAGGCATTAGTTAGATCATTGTTTAGGGAAGATATAAGTGAATCATTGAATCAAGAACCCATGGAAGTTCTAAAGTGAGTGCATTCTGCACTTCTTGAAACTCTAGAGGGGAATTTAGGGCAAGTCATAATGCCAATTATGCCATAAAACTGGGCCATGTTATTAACTTCTTGAAACTCTGTGTGAAGTCATACAACCTTTGCTGTATCAATTCAGCCATATTATTAACTAGCAAAAGATCAAGAATCACATAGTGATAAAAGTTTTGATTTCATGTGTTTTTCCAATTGGTATTTAGCAAATTTGGTGTAAATTATATACATAATAACATAATACATGATTGACTTATTTGCTTACTAATTACGTTTCAATCTTTTTAAATGGCAGACTACAATTTATTGAAAAAAGAAGTTGACTTCTTCATTCTTCAGTATTCTATAATCCAAACTCAAATTCAACCGCTCAGCCACTCAGGTGCCTTTGTTCATCTTTATATTGATTTTATTGAATTGTTGTGAGTGTTAAATATTGATCATGTTGCCTAGAAAGTATAAGCACTTATCTGGAAGTGAGAAAAGGAAAAAAGGGAAGTTAATTGAACAACTGAAACAATCACAAAAAGGAGCCATGGATAAGTTTGTAAATACCGTAGGTTCTTCTAATCAAGAGTTAGATGACTTAGATGAACAAGATGTTGAACATCCAAATATGAGTGAAGATAATGAAAAGATTGATGGTGTGGGTGAACATGAGGTCCCCAATAATACTGAAAAATTATCCATTGATGAACAATCAATTTCGTTTTTTGATATTTGTGATCCAAGAAATTGGGATAATCTTGATACTAAATCAAGAGACATCCTAGTTGAAAAAGGACCTATTAGAGAATTGGATATTGTGTTTCCTTTAGATAACATGTGTAGACATTTTTCATATGCTTATTATGATAGAAAGCTAAGTAATGGTGAAACTAGTGATCGAAAATGGTTACTTTATTCAAAATATGAGGATAAAGTGTATTGTTTTTGTTGTAAGTTGTTCAAGTCTAAGAATTATAGAAATGCAATAGCTAACGAAGGATTTAGAGATGGGAAGCATCTTGGTGAAAGACTTAAAAGAACATGAGAATAGTATTGAACATATGAATAACATGTTATCTTGGAATGAAATAAGAGTAAGACAGAACACAAACCAAACAATCGATAAAGACTTACAACAAGAGATTTTAAAAGAGAAAGAACGTTGGAGGTAAGTTTTAGTAAGAATAATTGCCGTTGTGATGTAGTAAGAATAATTGCCGTTGTGATGTGTCTTGCTAAATATTCTTTGCCTTTTAGAGGATCAAATGAGTAGTTGTATCAACGTAGCAATGGTAATTTTTTGGGGTTAATTGAAATGAATGGAGAATTTGATGTGGTAATTCAAGATCATATTAGACGCATTCAAAATCATAAAGTTCATTATCATTATCTTGGCCCTAGAATTCAAAATGAGTTAATTTCTCTTTTGGCTCGTAATGTTAAAAGTTCTATCATGAAAATTATTAGAGATGCTAAATATTTTTCTATAATTCTTGATTGTACACCGGATGTGAGCCATCAAGAGCAAATGAGTTTAATCATACAATGTGTGAATATGTCCAGTGATAAAATAAAAATAGATGAGTATTTTATAGAGGTTTTAAAGGTTGATGATACATCTGATTTAAGGTTGTTCAATGAATTATTAGATGTACTTAAATCTCTCGATCTTAGTGTTGATGATGAGAAGGGTCAAGGTTATGATAATGGTTCTAACATGAAGGGAAAACACCAAGGGGTACAAAATCGATTACTTGAAGTTAATCCAAAAGTATTATATATGTCATGTGTTTGTCATAGCCTTAATCTTACTCTTAGTGATACGGCTCATTCTTGTGTTAAAGCTGTTTCATTTTTTGGAATTGTTCAATGCATATGCACATTATTTGCTAGTTCTACAAAAAGGGGGAAGGTGTTACTTCATAATATGTCAAACTTAACTGTAAAATCTTTGTGCAACACAAGTTGAAGTTAATAATATAACATGATTGTCGCCATAAGAAAAACAATTCAGATATCATAGTTCTATCTTTTGAGCAGGCCGATTGAGGTCCCTATCTTCAATTGGTTCATCACCACCCAAACCAATTTCGGTTATCCAACGCACGTCTTCAGTTTGAGGAAGAGACATGAACCGAACCCGTGTCCACCGCTTGTCCACCGTGATTTTGCCGACTAGATCCATTCGCCGTTGGCAAGCCTCTCGAACTTTGATCATTCATGTGATTCACTTCCGTCCGACATCCATTGAGTGACAAGCTAAGGTCATCAAGGTTAATTCTATCCTCTCCTTCGTTTTGATCACTTTGTAACGATGGCTTACAATCGAACTTTCTTCCATTGACACCTTGTGGAGAGATATTACACGATGAATTCGCCATTCTTCCCTTCTCAGTATATTTACATCTTCCATCACGACATTTCTGGTACAAGCGATAAAAAATTTAGATTACAACCTCAAGGACAGAGAAACACTACAACAAAATCGGGTTTATAGGACACTCCCAATTTCTAAGCATCCTAATAGACCTCTTTATAGGACTTAGTTTATAGGACCAAAAAAAAATGTCATATCTAAAGGTGTTGTAATAAGTTTATATGAAAAACTAACCTGAAGATGACTGGCAACCTGCGTTCTTGTAAGACCAGGAACATCCATAAGGTCAAGTATCTCCTTCGGATAACATCCTAATACCAAAACACGGATTTTAGCGATATACAACATAGCGAGAAAACATCGTTCGGACTTTTCATGTATTTCCGTGACGCACGTAACGAAAACTAATGTAATTGATCAAGAAAAATGTTGAAAGATCGATGAATTTATACTTCCTTCGCCGAGCTGAATGGCAGCATGAAGGAATTTGTCATGAAGTTCTCGGGTCCACTCGACGCGTATCTTCGTCTTCACCCTATCGTCATAATCTTCGGACGATTGGTAGACTAGATGTTTCGTTGGCTTGCCTCTATACGTCCGTTTACGCCCCAAACATCGATGATTATCCTGTATACGTTCTTCTATTCGGGCAGCGTTACGAGTCGTGTTCTTGTTTTGACACTCGTCGTGCTTACGGATTCTCTCTTTGATCGCATACTGACGTATACCCATTGCAGCATCTTTAGTAAGTGGCCTTTTGAGAACCAGCAAAGCTCCATTCTTGAGAGCTTCAAGTATGATGGTGTCATCGTCTTCCTCAGACATCACTTAGAGTATAGAACAAACAAACGTTTAAGGTTCCATAAGTATTGAAAAAGAATGGCAACAAATCTATGGCAATTTAAAACCAACCCATAGATAGCAAGTCGATACGCTTCGCCAATCTAATAAACGTATAAACGTCCACATCGGTTATGTCTCTATCGATAAGCAGGAGGTCGAATTCGTTCGCCTTCTCCGATAGCAATCTTAAAGCCAGCCCGGAATTATCAGCACACGTAACTAATAAGAGCAAGACAAGGAACAAGAATAAATTATTCTAGAATTAGCGATTGTACAAGACACTTTTTGAGAAGTGTCGTATGAATACATCTTAACAAAACTGCTAATGAAGATTGTTACCTTGAAATGAACAAGAAGATAGCAAGCAAGCAACAGAAGCAAGAAGGTCCTTCTTTTCATCCATAACCAGAACTTTCAAATCTGTGTGAGTGTTTTGAGAACAGCCATGGCACCTGCACATTTTTAAGCACAAAGAAATGAAGAGAGAGGTGAGGATGTGAAATGGGTATTGATTTATAAGCATATAAATAGAGAAGAGAAGGGGTTGGAATGAGATGTCATGAGTAAATGATGCACAAATGGTCACACAATTTCCAGCCATTAAATATTGTGGTAAAAAGGGTGTCATCAATTGAAACATAGATTTTTTTAATTTTTTTTTTATTAATCTGAATATTCAATTTGTTATATGAGCCGATTAATCCCAGGGCAACCATCTGCTTTGCAGATAGTTCGAAGTTACTGCATTTGAACCTCCGTGGCCATAAGGAGATTTTTATTCCTTCTTGGATTTGAACTTGGGATCTCGTGATACTTTTGACCTTTCGAGTCAAGCTAAAACTAATCAGGTACCATCCTTGTAGTTATTGAAACATAGATTTGTTGTTTATTATTAATGAGTGAATATAAAGCGATTATTTTAAATTTTTTAAATGAAGAGTTTGAATTACGTTCAATCGAAAAAGAAGGGGACAGATATTGAAACCAATCATTAGATGTTTGAGACTCGTAAGAAGGGGATTTTTTTTTTGCCACAATGTTGTAGTATAAAATTGTTTGCTTACACATGTTTTATTAAGGATTAAAAGGGTACTCGTGTAATACATCGAGACATTTCTTGATTTCAGTGTTTTGTTTTATTTTTTTTTTATATCAATATAATATGGTTTTATATGATTTTTTGAGAAAGCGATAATGTTTTTATTTTTGAATAAAATATAAATTTGAAAATATCATAAAATTTTGAAAAAATATATATACATCGATATCAGTATCAAATTAATATTTTTAAAAGTTCTTGTGTTTTGATGTAATTTTCTTTAATTCAATTTTTTTAATTATAATTTAATTTAGACTAATAACAAAGAAATTTAATTTAGGTTTAATAATATATTTATTTATAAAGATAATAACTAAGTATTCTATAAAAACTCAATGATTATCTTAATTATATTTTAAATTTTTTATATTTAAAATGATATGTTTATCCAATATTTAATTATGTTTAAGGGTAGTTAGTTACATGAATTCAAATATGGAGCTTTAATAAATTGTACTTATGCACAATTTACTTCATTCATAAAAAATAGTTTTTAAGAATTTTTGTCGAATGCTTTATAATATAGTATAAATATGTTTAGTATGTCAGATAAAATAAAACAAAATATATTTGAAGTGATATTGGAATGGAATAATAAAGAAATTAGTGTGACAAAATTGCAATTTTTTATCTCATTGAAATTTGTAGAAAAAGCAAAACTGACAAGACTAAATTGTAAAATAATATTATGATATTATTGATATAATATATACGTAATATAAAATATTATATATTATAGTATCATCTAAATATATTGTATATTATAAATATACTATATATATTATAAACATATTGTAGTATATTACCAAAATATGTTATATTATATATCATCAAAATATGTTATAAGCATATTTATATTATATTTTTGTATATGATGTAATATATATTATATATAAGGTCAGGTTCGGGAAAAAACCGTAAAAAATAAAAACTGAGAAACATCATAGTAACCGTTCATCTAGACAGTATGTGCATGTACATACAAATAATTTGGAAGCAATTTGTCTGGTACATAGATTGAGCATTACATTGTTATTTCTCAAACATTATTTCGCATTCCATAAATAGTATCGTTTTGTAATGGGTTCAATACGATCACATCCACATCCCCAACGGGATTCGAAGATTTCTTTTTCCGTTTATATGAGATATTTTAAATCAAATGTGTTAAACATTACACTCAATTCAAAATGGTCCATGTTTAAATCTCACATATTTCATAATTTTGTTTGTATGCAGTATCAGATATTTATATGTTAAGAAAATCACAACATCAGACGTAATTTTTACATCAAATATATTATGATTAAGTTTTTTTTTTGGACTTTTTCTTATGATTTAGTATATATTGTATATAAAAATATATTATGTATTATAAATATACTATGATATATATTATCAAAATATATTGTATATAATAATGTTATATTATATATCATCAAAATATACTATAAGCATGTTTTATATTATATATTTTAGGGAAAGGTTTATTTGAGAAGTAAAGAAGTGATCCTAGTCTTTTACACGGTCAAGATTGGTCAAGAAGTAATCCTATTTTTTTTTTTTTTTTTGCAGCATTGACCGGTCAAGATTTGCAGGTTTGATTAGTCAATCGAAAAATAGAAGGATAGTTTCATAACTTTTACAAATAGGCGGCAAACAAGTTTATATGTGAACTTATAGTTCATATGTGAATCAGTTAATTAGTTCATATGTGAATCACACGGGTTCACATATGAACATATAGTTCATATGTGAATAACAAGGGTTCGCATATGCACTTATTTTGCCGCCTATTTGTAAGAGTTACGAAACTATTCATCTATTTTTCGCATACCATGTTCGATGATACTTCTTAAGTTATCTGTTATTCACAATGTGTTAAAAGTTATTTTGTTAATGAGAGGATATATGAGAAAGAAAATTTGTAATATATCCATAATAATATTTATTTTAATTTTTAATTTAAAATTACCAAAATTACTAATTTTCTAATTAACTTTAATATTATTTATAGTTTATATTGATCTTACGGATCTCAAATACACGTTTATATTTGGAAAACTGTTGTATAATTGAAAATGTGTTGTATTAACTATTTTATACAACACTATTTGAAAAAACGTCTTGTAAACCCATCTTTTTATATGACAATTTTCAAAAGGGTCCTATAAAATAGCTTATATGACACTTAATTTTAAAACGTCAAAAAAACTTGTTAAAATACCTAAAAATGTCTTGTAAACTTATTGTAACATTTTTAGATAACATTTTTAAATTAAAGCATGAAAACAAGTGTGATTCAGATGTAGGGATTCAGACAGATAATGTATCTTAATTGATCATATAGCATTTTCAAATGTTAACAATCCTTCCGTCTTAACAGTATCTCATAAGCTACAACAGGATGTTTTCCTCACTAAGCTCTCATCACTCATTTCACATCTACAAACAACAATCCAAACAGATTTTCGCAATCTTTTCGCTACCTCTCATCTCATCCACGATGACCGTTGGATCACGTGGGCCCAACCCAAGTGCGGGCCCCGTTGTCCGACAACGGGCCACCGTTGATCCCCGCCTGCAATGCTGCGTTACTGTTGAGAAGCTGCATTCCCTCTTCACCCATCTGCTGAACTTCCGAAGGTGATAGAATCCTGATGCATCGCACACACCCGACAAATTCCCTGCATTTACACCACCATTTAACCATTTTGTCGTTAATATATGCGAACAAATTGATCAAACCGATGGAACTTGATCGTTCACACTTGCCATACATTTTAAAGGCCAATATGTAAAAAACCAAACGGGCACAGTATATCCCACCCGGAGAGCGGGTTTGTGGAGGGTAAGATGTAAGCAGACGTGACCTCTATCAAATAGTTGAGCAGTTGTTTCCAACAAGGACATAAATATTGTAGAAAAAGGAACTTACTCCCATGGATCGTCTCCAACGAGAAGGACATCATTCTCGAAATCTACATACACCAACTTCCAACCGGATCCTCTCGAATCATTAAGAAGTCCCTCGAGCCCAAACATCTTTTCTATTTCCGAACAAAGTTCATCGTAGTTCTTGAAACTCGAAACATCGATAGACCTCCCCACCGACCCTGCCTTTTGAATCTGCAACACCCAAGAAAACAAGCTTTAAACAAAGATCGATCTACACAAAGTGAAACCCTTTTTTTCCATGTTTCAAACTCCATTGTTGTAGTGTTTCGACTTCAATGCATAATCAACATAAAGAGTTCTGACCTTTGTGTAGGTTCGTACACGAGGAGGAGCAGCAACTTGTTGCCACGAATTATTCGTCAAAAGTCCGCTATCATCGAATTCTCCGTTGCTAGAAGACGCCCCACCTGAGTTATCCGGCAATTCTTGCACCGAGTAAGCTTGAGAATCGACAAGACTCGCTGAAGTGATTTGCGACTGAACGTCTTGGCTCGAGCTAAAATTGTTGCTCACTAAATAATTTGATGGATTTTGGAACTCGATATCTTTCAAGTTGCAAAACTCATCCAAAACGGTACTCGAGACCGAAGGATCAACCACCGTGCTGCCGCCATTGCTACCTTCGAAATTGAGGCAATTATAGGCATTGACACTTTGGCTATTGTGGTGGCTCTCATCTGATAAGTCTTTGAAACCATACACATTTGAAGGTCCTGTATTTGGTTGGAAGAAACATTTCGAGTTATTATTCACATGTGAATCCCATGTTTCTTGTCCGAGAGATGGATACGGATTCAATACGTTGGTATCGGGGTACGGGAATAATCCGTTAAGACTCGAAGAATCGATCTGCGGTGAATCAAATTGTTGAGCATGGAGTATGCTGGAATCAAACGGTGATAACTGGTTAAGAAACGGTAGCTCGTGTACAAGATTCTGCGGACTGTTGATCGGCTTTGAAGACGTAACCTGCATCGACTCGGATTTCATTGTTTCTGAGCAAATGGAAACCGGTGTTTGGTTCGTGGGTTTCTGTTGGGGTTGTTGGTTTCCCAAAAGATTTGTGGAGGATTGTGGTGGTGAAATTGATGTTACATTAGCGGTGTTGGTGGTGGTGTTGGGTTGAATGAGGTGAAATTGTGGGCGGTTTTCGGATTGTAACGGGGTTCTATTAGCGGCAAAAGTATCGTGAACAGGTGAAATGGATGCTGCATTATTACCATTTTGAGGTTTCATCAACATCTTGATCAGCTGTTCCGACCATAAGCTTGACATCGAAGGGTTCGAGAAGTTCCCGTTTACGGTTTCTGGGGCCCGCATGAATGGCCGGCTTACCATATTGTCCCATTCGGTTTGTGCTCCTAATAAAATACGAAAAACATCACTAAAAGAGTACTTAAAGAGATGAACAAAAAAAAGGAGGTTAAACAAGAAGATGGAACTCACCTAGAAAAGCCGAATTGAACGGTCGTTTAAGACTCGAAGTGAGAGCCGGGAAAATGAAGAGACTTTCTGGGGCTTCGATATCCCATGGACTCACTCGACTTTGCTTATCACCGCAACCAGGCTCATCCCACTCGACCTGATTTCATTAACACAACACTTATCAAAAAGGTCATTTGGCACAAGTTCTATTGAGAGCCTCTAGGCCAACGGTGGAATCGGCCACAGAAACGCTTGGATAAACCAAACCAACCGAGCCCAGTATATCCCACCCGGAGGTGGGGTCTGGGAGGGGTAAGACGTACACAAACCCGACCTCTACCTCAAAAGACAGTAGAAAGGTTGTTTCCGTGAAGACCCCCGCCTTGTGATGGAAACGCTCGGATGTGGTCAAGTTTTCATAAGGGAATTCAATAGTTACGGGTTAATATTTCACGTGCGATAAGGTAATCATGGCTCAAGTACCTGAAGATTGTGCCACTTAGAGCCGGGCCATCGTAACGGATCCACGTCACTTATACCGACAATTGTGCCCATATATCTGCATTAACAACAAGATGACCAATTAGCATACATACGACAATATGGAATCGCACAGTCATAATCGGCCAGTGGCACCCGGGTTACCGGTAGATCCCAACCTCCCAGGAGGCCGAGGGTTCAAGCGTCACCATCAATGAAAAGTGTGTACGAGTTTTGCCGTATATTAATATTAATATGCTAAACAACAGTATTTTATTCACACATACCTGCGTTTCCCTGATTCATCGGTTTCAAACATCATTCCAAACCTCATTCCTACGGAAAGCTGTGTCCCGTAAACCGACTTCCGAAATCTCGCCAACGGAATGACGAATTCCGATGGACATGCCCTAAATGAATCGAAATGGATAGCGAAAATTAGTAACCATTCGTTATAGATATCTTTTCGTGATATAATCATATGAGACAGCTACCTCGGATTGTAGAATATTGTAAACGGGCTTCGATTAGCAGCGGCATGAGCTGCAGCAGCAAGGACTCCTATGTGCATGCTATCGGCCGATAAAACCGATGACGGCAAAGACGTTTGTTGACGATTTGCTCGCCTCACTCCCAACAATAACTGTGATTTCTCATCCCTATCAGCAAAAAAGTTACATACAATGTTAGTTTCAAATACATAGAGATGGCCAAAAACCGGTCTGAAGAAGTTGGCTGATTACATGTAGATTCGAGCAAGCAAATATCGAACTTTGAATCATAATGAAACCCCATTTTTCTTCCTAACGGATATGAGTTCGCCAACGAAGTTGATGGAAATCGAAATCGAAAGAATCATACCTGATAAAGAGAACGGCGTCGCCTTGTTTAAGCCTTTTTGCACTAACAAACATACTCCAACCGGTAGTTAGTAGGTGTCGTTTCGGCTGCCCTGCATCATAAACGAAATCACGGCAACGAAGTTTTATTACAAGAACTCGCATCAAAGCACCAAACAATATGGAAACAGTAATGATCCCTAAATCGCAATCAATCCCACATTAAATTTCGTCATGAAGAGAGTTTAGGAGCTCACCCCGATATATATGACGAAATGTCCATGTGTTATCGTGTAAATCTCGAACGATAAGCTCTTGAGTTGGAGGTTGCATTGAAAAATCCTGATGGAGAAGAATAATGGTTAGTGAAATTTGAGCTCAAATGACAGTTTTAATGTTTTTGCAGTTAAAAACGGAAATGGTACCAATTGCGGAAACAGCTTTTCCGCTGCTCTACGAGGTACAGAAAAGCCGCCATGCGTGCTCGTATCGCTCGGGGTCAAAGTCTTGCAGAAGAATTCTGTTGGATGTCTACTCGGCTTCATCCCAAAGTCGGGTATAGGAAGAACATCTTTTTCCTGATTTCCATGCGGATTCACGCAACATTCGATATTAGGTACCAATTTTTATGGTAAAACTTATGCGAAAAAACCGAGTAATTTGACTTTTTAATCCATCAAAGTAGACTTTTTGTTGCAAATGTAAACCAAACACAGCATTTTGCAAGAAAGATGCCAAGTATGATCATTTCTTGAAAGCTACCGAGTTCTTTTCGATATTTCCATCGGAAAAATGGTCAGTTTGCTCCGAAATGTCAATCGCTCGATAAAAAGTCTCTATTGGTCTTATTCTTATTGTGCGCCTTGTGAGCGCGTTTGGATCCGCGAAGGAAATCGCTCGGATGTTCCCCGTGAAAGATACTCCCTCCGTTTCAAAAAAAGTAGTCCAATTTGGATTTATAGCGACTTAAACATCGTAGAAATTAGTTTTTTTCCTCTCTAAAACGGAATCTTGCAATTTCGAACAGAAAATAGCCAAGTTGACACTCAAAAAGTCAAATTTTGACATGGACTGAGGTCAAACTGAAGTAACACAAGATATTTATACGGCGGGACCCACCGAATTCACGGGTCGAAGGCTCATTTGGGCGTAGATCTCATCGGTTTCTTTATCTGCCTATTTAAACAATCAAAAAAAACTTGAGAGAATTAAAGAAAGCATAATCAAAGCCGAAAAAACTGGACAATAGTTTGATAGAATTAAGGAGACATACGTGTAACGTAGCATTTAGAACTTGGCACAACAACTGTGACGGAAGATTCGGATAGTTGGGAACTTGTGATGTTGCGGTTCTATTGGTCGAAACTGCAACCTGTTAAAGCAAATTATGTCTTGATTTAGATCCGCAATCCCAAAAACCAAATAAATCTCCCTATGGGACTCGCTAAATCAGCTACGGTGTTGTTTGTTTACGGCTTAATGAGAGCTTAATAGACTGAACAACTTATTTATGGTCAGCCATAGAAGCATGTTTGTTTACGACTTAATCAATAAGTTGTGGCTTTTGGTTGGCATTTCGTCGTTAAGGCGTAGTTTTTTCCGTTTCTTTTTCCAATTCTACACTTCAGATCTAAAACAACCAATTTATTCAAGAAAACTGCAAATTACACACAAGATTTGTTCAAAAACAATCCAACAAATTACAGAAATCAAACCTGTTCACTGTGGCCTTGTGGGAAGTAATACACAAGGCTTCCCACCTGTGGCAGAGATACCAATGGACCAGCACATGCATGCCATAGCTCTGAATTGATTGGCTTCTTTATCACTGCAAGTTTCAGCAAATATTCACATCTATTCACAAGTATTCTAAAAACCCAGAAAGATAAGAGCTAACAAGACTAATCTTCCATGGTTCGAATCTCGAAACCTTTATGACCATGAAGGTTCACAACGATTCGGGCCATTTATGTCCTCAGTTGGCCCGAATACACACAGTTATATCATTTTGTGTGCAATTCTTTAGGGTTTGAGTCTAGTTTCTAACTGTTGCAAAATGTGATGAATACAGAAGAGTGGATTTGAACACTTGGGGGTAGAATTTGGAAAAAAAGTGTATAGGAAAGTAGAGAAATTTACCAGAATGGTCCTGCATTTCCTTCAACAATTTCATTTCTTCAAGTAAACTGTGTGTCCCACTGTTCACACCTGTTGAATTGAGCTTCTCTTCAATGGTGGTCATACTACTAACCTTTCTACATCAACAACTTTTAAAGACCAAAAATGAGGGTCTTTTTCATAAAATCATCAAGTAATCAAATCAAAACTTGATAAACCCAACAATCCTTTCCAAAAAAAGATCCAATGCTTGATCATACCCACATAGGTTTTCCATCTCAAGAAACAAAGAAACCCCACCTGAGATATTCATATTCAGATTGAACCCAAAAACAAAACAGAAAGCCCCTTCACATTTCTTAGGAAGCACCGAAAGAAAACAAAGGAATCTAATGGTCTATTTTAGGAGGCAAACACAGAGGGAATCTAAGATAAAATCCAAATGAACACAGAAGCCATGCCCCAAAAACCCACAACCAAGAAACACAAACCTGCAAAATCTAATGTGGGGCTAACTTGTAATCAAAACAACAAACCAGCAAAAAGAAAGAAAGGACTGTTTTTTGCATCAAAGCACGCCTATCAAAGCATAGGAGTGCTGTGTCTTTGAGTGATTATAGGGTCCTCCATGGAAAAAGCAATCACCTTTCTGTGAAAGTGGTCATAATACTGATCTTCCACCCCTCTCTTCACTCCACAAACAAACAAAAAAAGAAACATACCCAGAAACCCTTTGTGTATTTAAATAATCTCCACCTTTTTTTTAAAAAAGAAAGAGAGAAAGAAAAGGGGGAATGCATGCTGTAATCGCTAACCTGCTGTCAAACACTTGGTGTGCAATTGGGTGATTACATTTGCAGCTTTCAACTCAGAGATTCAAGATTTCTGAGTGTTTAATTAAATCCAACCAAAAATCTTGCAGAACAGAGAAAAAGGGGGAAGAGTATGGATACACGAAAACGAACTCACACTTTCAAGATCAAGACAAAAGAGAGAGTATTAAAAAATTGGTAGTTTACTTTTATACTTCATCTACGTAGGAAACACAAATTCTGTATTAAATATACTACATCCAATATACGGAAACTTCCCATGTAAAACCTTATGGGTGGTATCTGATTGATTTGATCTTGACTCTAAAGTACCAGGAGGTTTTAGATTTAAATCTAAGGATAAATAAAAATCCCCTTATAGTCATAGAGGTTCAAATGCGGTGACTTCGAGCTATCGATAAAACGGGTGGCCGTTCTAAGATTAATCGGCTTGAATAACGGGTTAAATATCCAGGTTAATCAAAAAAGAAATTGGTATATAAATAATTTATTTTTTAATTTAATATAATAGTATGTATTTGAGAATATATGACGTTGGAATAAATTTTTGTGATGTAATATAATAATAATTATTATTATTTGAATTAATAATATAATTCTCATTAAACAATAATAGTAAAACGAATAAATGATGTATGTTTGATTGTTTATTTATGTATTTTTTTATAATTAAATGAATTTTATATACAATGTTTATTTACAAAAAGTTATGATATTAATTAATTAGAGTGTTTAATTACTTGGCTGTATTAGTTTCATCTATTGAACGAGATAAAAAAATGTCCCCTCACATTAATGACCTTAAAGGTGGGTTTTATGTGAGGTCGTTTGGAATTGCTGGTAATCAATTTTTTACCTAAATTATACTGTTAGTAACTTTATTTAATAAATAACATTTGCTTTAATATGTAGAATTTATCAGACTTTTGCAATTAGAAACTTATTGAACTGAACTAGCTTTCGACCTCTGTTTAGGTTTCAAGATTTCATGCCCACTTATAATAAATGCATCTGGATCGATTTTCCTGTTCTATTGAAAAGGGAGAGAGAGCGTAACAACAAGAAAACAATTGGTTTTTCTCTTGTTCTGTAAAATGGTTACTTTTTTTTATCGAAAACTTATTCGAATCAATTTTATCGTTTATGCTTCAAACGGGATTCGATCCACTTTGCAAGAAACAAGATTCAACGCGACGCATGAACGGGAATCAAAGGATTCAGTAACGACTAAAATCGACATTTAAAAGATACAAACATATGAAGGGTTTGGGATTGCTTATTCAAAATAACTTGTGCATTTTTGTAAAAGTGTTTATTAACTTATGTGGTATCAAACCGTAGTTTTGTAAAAAATGTTTGGATTAGCTTATAGCGGTACCAAATAGTAATAAGCTGATAAGTTGTTTTTTAGTGTTTGGCAAATTTTGTTTATATATGTAAAATGACCAAAAAAGACAGTCTTCCATATTATTGACTTATGTGAGTGTTTGGGATTGCTTATTAACTTATGTGATTTTTTAACATGTAAAAAATTATTTTTCATCATTTATAATAATATTTTGACAATAATTTATATCAATAAAATTAATAATTAACAAACATGGTTAAAATGGTAAACTGATAATAAACAGTTTTTCACAAGTCATGAATGATTAACTTATCAAAAACTGCTTATCATCGATGTGAGACTAAAATAAGTTAAAAAACACCTAAAATAAGCAATCCCAAACATCCCCGAAAACAAAATATTATATTTGTGTAATGAATTAAATATTTGAATCTAAAATAAAATGTTTTTTATAATATTTTAATAATAAAAAATAATTTGATATAATTTTATTTTTTATTTTTTTAAATTGATTAGAAAAGACAGTATTTGATAAGAAAGGGAGAGTTTTGAGGGGTGGCAATAGAAGGCGCAAATTAGCACGTGGGTTACGAGGAAATGTAAAAGGGGTCCTTTCGATATGCTTTTTTCAGGGATCGCGACTTTCGGGGCTTTTTGCTTTTCGATTTTTGGGTTACTTTTCAACTTTTACCCCTCCTCTTTTATATTTTAACGAAATTAGTCCCTTCAACTAATGTAAAACCAGATTAACCCCTTTCTATTCCCTTCTCAACTTCATTCAATAAGCTTCTCAAATGGTAGTTCAATAAATAAATGTATCTTTTTTATATGCAATTCCTCCTTTTTTTTAATATATATTTTTAATGAGAAAAAAACAATTATTAGTCATATACTCACATTATTACAATTGTATTGTTTATTTTTTTATTCAATTTTAATTAAATTAACTATAAAACTCCCCTTTTTAAATAAGCATGTAATTGAAATTTGTTTTGTGAATATACTAGTCGTGTATCCGTGTAATGCAGCGGAGAACCGTGAATTTTAACGATTTTGAAGTTTCATTGGTTTTATTAGAAAAGATTTAACGATGATATAAATTACATTTGGTCTTTACATATTAATACAATTTGAATAAATAAGAGTTATGGTCTCAATTACAGTTTATCGATGAAAAAAATTGTATGATAGTTTAAAATCCAACATATTTAAACGACTCCACAAATGTGTTCGATTTACACCAAGAGCAAAGAATCAAAAGAGCGAGACCGAGAGTTTTAGAGCAATTGAATGAGAGATGAATAAAAGAACTTTTAATAACTCATGGTGAATATCAATTTGAATCTCTCCTCCGGGGATGGAAGAAGACATAGAGATATGAGAAGGTGAAGACATGAGTTAAAGGTGTCAAAAGTATCTTGAAAACATGGAAAAAAAAAGGTAATAATGTGCATTGGTAGCTTGTATTATATGTTATTTTAATTGTAGATTAAGATATTTTAAAACTAAATGCATAAAGTAGTAGTACTTAATGCATTATAAGTTGTTTTTAAGACTTTTAAGACTTTGTACATAAATGTATAGTACTTTGTGCCTTCAAAATTATTTTTAAAACTTTTAAAAAATCTAGTTTATAAGATAGTATAGATATAACTAAAATCATAATAACACAATTTTTTCCTTTTTTTAATTATATATACAATAAAAAGAATTTATCAGTAGTATAATTATACTATAACAATTATACTGTTTATTTATTTTTCAGTTTTAATCAGGTTAACTATACAAATGCTCAATTATACTGTTAATGTTATATGTTAAGTAATTTCGTTAAAATAAGATGAGATTTGTGTGATTTATATGCCTACAAGATTATGAATACTTGATTGATATTGATTTTATTCAAATATGTATGATTAAAATTTATAAACATATAATGGTATTTGTTTATGGTTTTGCATAAAAGTTAAGAGAAAACATGATGAGAGAGGAATGGCAGGTTTAGTAAAGTTGGAGGACAAAATTTGTAGATTCTATAAAAGTAGAGGGGGTTAAAGTGGATATAAAATTCCATTTGTCCGACTTGTACCGTCCCCTCTCTCTGATTTCTTTGACTAGCTGTCACGCGTGCCGCTCACGACTATTTAAAAGAAGCGCAATTTAGCAAATGGGACACGTAAGCCACTTTCCACCGTTTGGTAAAATAATACAAGAAGTATTTTGATTACAAATTAAAAAAAAATGATGTTTGACGAACTAACTCATAAGTTATTTGGTGTCTGATAAATTAATTGATAAAAAATATAAAATAATTAAAAAAGATATCTTAATTAATATTTTTCTTAAAAATATATTTAATAATTAAATTAAATATTTAAACTATTTAATATATTTTTTTATCTATGAAACAATATAAATATAACTTTAATCTTTATATTAAATAAATAGTATTAAAATTGTTATATTTGTGTTTTAATAACTAAATATATTTAATAAAAATATGAAAAGAATTAATATGATTAATAATTATTGTAGTACTTAATAAATAATATTAATGTATAATTTATAATTAAAATCTATTTTCAATTTATATTAATTAATATAAATTTTTATTTATTTTTAATTAATATTAACGAGGGTTATTTTATATCAAAACCCTATTCCAAATAGTGTTTCAATAAGCTAGTTTGTGCATCCAAACGTATAAGAGCATTTTCAACAGATTTTTCAAAATAAATATTTTGGCAAAATGAAAAAACAGGAAAGAGATTGAAATTCTCCAAATTTATAGAACTCTCCAAAAATGACCACTTATGGAATAAACTTATTTTTAGCTTTTTTACCAATGAGAAATCTTGAAATTAAATGTATAAAAGAGACATAATATTTTAATAATATAATTCATATTGTAATTTCGAATTAAAAAACTGTTGAAGATGAATA